GAACCAGACCAGTGTGATACTTGTAGGACTAACAATAGACTAGGGCTAAAGCTGATGCGATTGGTTGGGACTCAGTGGATGCATATGATAGGGCACTGTCGTGGCTTGTGGGTGATGTAGTCTTTTATCGGTCTTGTGATATTGTCTATTCTCGGGCCACTGTTGCTGCGTCGGATCAGTTTCAGTAAGTACCGGAACGCAGAAAAAAGTGGCGGAACCCAAAATACAGAAGTTCCGGAACTGCGTTCCGGCCCACTTCAAGCACTGAATATAAGTGAATTTAAAAAGGTTGCGTGTGTGTTTTTATATGATAATTTATTAGATATTTTTAGAATCTGTGACTTTGACCCATGCAATGCGTGAATGTACATAAAGTTTGATTCTTTTAGATTAAAAAACCGGCTTGACCAAGTCACTGAAAAGAACTAGCTCAAAAGAACAATCACTATCATTCACTTGGGTTGCTGTCTTTGTGTGCAAGTAGTGTTTCTTGCTAAGACCATGTGGCGTTGTAGTTTGCGTGGTACTTTTCTCTCTGACTTTATTATTCATTATTCATACTGTGAGATCTTGCAAGATTGACTGTACAGAAAAATTACTCAAATTTTTGAGTGTTAACAATCTAGCGGTCTCCATGCTACTATGTGAGATACAGATACAGGTTTTATAGTGTATAAGCACCATAGAGTAAAGATCTGAGTGACTTTGATAAGGCTTAAATCATTTTTACCAAACACCAGGGTCAGAGCATCTCCAAAATGGCAAGGGTTGTGTGGTGCTCCCAGTCAACTGTGATAAGTTATTTTCAACAGCTACTTTGAGCAGGTCATAAAACTGCAGATTTTTGAATGCTTGGTATTATTACAAGAAACACCTGTTACGGATGCAATGCAGAGGCTGACAGGCTTCTCTTATTATATTTACTATAGTATAATTACAAGCATTTCATAAGTGTCAAAGGCTTTTATTAGGGGTGTAAATCACAGCTTTCCTCGTCATACAATACAGTATCGATTCCATTCAGTTCGATACTGGGGATATTAGTTGAAATGATGAAATTTCACACAATCCTTTACATTTCAATTAATTAAAAAAGGCAAAAATATTTAGCATTTTATCATATTTTATTGGGAACTGTAAACAAAATCTAGTTTAGTCAAGTATGTCCCATAAATCAAGCAAAATAAAGTGCAATAAGGTAAAAATAAAAACTTGGATGGATGTAGATTAACATGGTGAATAATATGCTACGCCCCTCATTAACTTTACGTGCAATCCCGATTGTTCCCAGCTGTTTCTTATTGTTTCGTCTAGTCCTGTGTATTTAAGTCCACGTCAGAGTCTGTCGCCCAGATCTGTCATTGCAGTTTTCCCCGTGTTGTGTGCTGTGCTTGCAATACACCTCCCTCCCCTCCTCATTTGTTGGATTTCCGTCTGCCTGACCCTGATTCCTCGTTCCCTGCTTGCTCACCCTACGCTGGGATACAACAATAACAAGTAAAATAAAAAACACTGCATGGACAGATATGTAGGATGAGGAAGATCAACATGACTGACTTCTATGGTGAAACAAGTACGTCAGTATTCTTCTCTGAGAGGTTTTTTTTAAAGAAAAATTAAATGGTAAACGTGTTCAGGAGATTGTGTGCTCTGAGCGTAGCGTCCTATGTCACCTGCCGTACTAAACACACGCTCTGAAGGTATGCTAGCTTATGAGCTACTTATAAATGGCCAAGTCAGAATGATCTACCTACTATAAAAATGTAAAACATATATTTATGTATAAAAATATTGAGTAGGCTATTCTTTAATATTATTTATTATTATTAATTTCCCTTTGGGATAAATAAAGTATTTTTGAATTGAACTGGGATTTTAAGTTCCTTCACCTTTCTATTTCTCAGCTCGATTTTCGGAGGGAAGTTAATGTCGTAGTTTTTTGAACAGTTCGAAAATGCCGCTCCACATTTCCCTTCTTCGGAATACCAACGGTAGACTGACAGATGAGGCAAATGCACTTCGAATATGACATTGTGGAAAAAAAACAGTCCTCCTCCCATTCCGTATGGAAGTGGTAGGTTTTTGGCTTCTTACTTGGTCCAGTTCCCCCATTCATTTTTATACCCTTTCTTAAGTTTAGTAGAAATAAATTGGAGGCTAACTACGTGACTCGGTAGCTTGCAGCAGCTGGCGCGGTTGAACGCGTCATCCATCCTCTATTTTTTATGCCATACGATCTACCCATACTACCTTTCAGATCGACCAGTAGACCATTGACGTATTGGGCACCCCTGTAGACCATGTATACGTCAGGGTGGATCATGAAAACAATACTGGAAGAGGCCAGAAAATAAAAACACATGTATCGATATTTATGTGGTCACATCGATGCATCGTATCATTTGCCGTTCAATCGATATATATTGATACAAATCGATGTATTGTTACACCCCTAGCTTTTATTGACAATTATATAAAATTTATGTAAAGAGTTAATATTTGCAGTGTTGACCCTTCTTTTTCAAGACCTCTGCAGTTCACCCTGGCATGCTGTCTGTCAACTTCTGGGCCAAATCCTGACTGATGGCAGCCCATTCTTGCAAAATCAATGCTTGAAGTTTGTCAGAATTTGTGGGTTTATCTTTGTCCACCTGCCTCTTGTGGATTGACCACAAGTTCTCAATGGGATTAAGGTCTGGGGAGATTGGCCATGGACCCAAATGTAGATGTTTTGTTCCCCAAGCCACTTAGTTATCACTTTTGCCTTATGCAAAGTTCCATCATGCTGGAAAAGGCATTATTTGTCACCAAACTCTTCTTGGATGGTTGGGAGAAGTTGCTCTCGGCGGATGTTTTGGTATCATTCTTCATTCATGTCTGTGTTCTTAGGCAAAATTGTGAGTGAGCCCACTCCCTTGACTGAGAAGCAACCCCACACATGAATGGTCCCAGGATGCTTTACTGTTGGCATGACACAGGACTGATGGTAGCTTTCACCTTTTCTTCTCCGGGCAATCATTTTTTCCGGATGCCCCCAAAAAAGAAAGGGCACTTATAAGAGAAAATTACTTTACCCCAGTCATCAGCAGTTCCATGTTTTTCTTGGAGAGAAGTGGCTTCTTTGCTGCCCTTCTTGACACCAGGCCATCCTCCAAAAGTCTTTACCTCACTGTGCATGCAGATGCACTCACATCTGCCTGTTGTCATTCCTGAGCAAGCTCTGCACTGGTGGTGCCCCGATCCTGCAGCTGAATCAACTTTAGGAAACGTTCCTAGTGCTTGCTGGACATTCTTGGGTGTCTTGAAGCCTTCTCTGCAACAACTGAACCTCTCTCCTGGAAGTTCTTGATGATCCGATAAATGGTTGATCGATCTTACTAGCAGTAATATCCTTGCCTGTGAAGCCCTTTTTGTGCAAAGCAATGATAACTGCAAGTGTTTCCTTACAGGTAACCATGGTTACTGGAGCAAGAACAATGATTTCAAGCACCACCCTCCTTTAAAAGCATCCAGTCTGCTATTCTAACTCAATCAGCATGACAGAGTGATCTCTAGCCTTGTCCTCGTCAACACTCACCTGTGCTAACAAGAGAATCACTGAAATGATGTCAGCAGAGCTGAAATACAATGTAAATGGTTTGTTTGCGATTGAGTTCATTTTCAAGGCAAAGAGGAACTTTGCAATTGATTGCAATCTTTCTGATCACTATACATAACATGCAAATTGGCATCATAAAAACTGAGGCAACAGACTTTGTGAAAACCAATACTTGTGTCATCCTCCAATTTTTTGGCCATGACTGTACAGTATATTTAAATGTTATGTAATGCAAACACTAAAGTAAAAATGTATGTATGTAGAAGGATGTGAGACAGCATGCTGTACCCCTGTGTGAAACTTGTCATCATGAACATACTTGGCTTTTGCCCTTTTTCATTTTCACTCCTCTGCTCCGTCTGCACCTTCTTGTTTATTCCATGGCATTTGGAGAGTCACGGCCAGCCAAGATGCCCTCAAAATGTGCCGCAGGGAATGGGAAGGGCTGAAGTCCGAAGTTTTTGCCTCAAGACACAAAATGAACACACAGACACTAACCAAGGAGGAGTACACTAACATAAGTGATGTTCGTTTAAGGCACATACCAAGGAGCAGTTCACTAACATAGGTGATGCTTGTTCAAGGCGCATACCAAGGAGAATCATGCTGATATAGGTGATGTTTGTTCAAGGCGCATACCAAGGAGGAGCATGCTGATATAGGTGATGTTTGTTTAAGGCACATACCAAGGAACAGTATACTGGTTTGTTCATGGCACATACCAACACCATTCATGTGTTTTCATTCTTTATTGACTGTAACTCAAGTTATAACAAGATAATGAGTTATTACACCAACTTCATTTATTATAATCACTTGTAGCCCCAAAGACCACTGCAAGTAATTAAAAACTAAATTGCAAAAAGTTCAGAAGTCAGCTTTACTCAGCACATGTTGGTAACCTACATTTCCTTTGGCTTCAAAATATTACTCGTTAGACATCTGACATTGGTCTCGTTATGAAAACATTCCTACTTTGTTTCTTCTCTCAGATTCTTCAGCAAATATAATTTTTGAAACATGATCAAAAGAAAAGCTGAATTTGCACATGGTGGTAAAGGCGCTCCCTTTGATTCCTGACAGTAGTCATGAACTTCTGAGCCAAATGCTGGCTGCTGTAGGCATTTGAAAAGCGCACAGGTGGCTGAAACACAGTAGCATTGACACACCACATCATGCAGAAGTACAAGAAGGCATTGAGGTATCAACCAAGACAGTGGTGAGCTGCTCGAAGCCAAACCTTCCTGGCAGCAGGCGGAGTTCCCTGTCTAAGTACCCATGGTTCAGAAATAAAAGGGAACCATCTTTAACACCACACAGCATATATACATTTGTATATAGACATATATACATCTACACATTTGAGACTTGTTAAATTTGGTTTGGTTTAACTGTCAAACTTGTCCATAAATTTCGCCGTTGAAGGCGAGACCATCCAGTTTGCATAAACACTATCATTGGCATATCTTGTAAAGACCGGGTTAGTGCCATCAAGCCTGGTGAGCAGAACTGGGCTCTTCTCCGGCCAGTTGGGGTATGACATGCCTAAAAACAAGAACACATAATTTTTCCTGCACTGCGGAATCACGCTGCAGAGTGCAGACAGTAAGGCTCTCAAAGGAAACCCTGGCTTTGGTGTTCAAACGCAAGCACTGTGCCTTCTGCTCAAGATTCAACACTCAAAACTGCTGTGATAATGCAAGTCAAACAAACTGCCTGCAAATTGCTTGATGATACAAACATGTCAATAGCAAAAAAAATCTTTCACACACTTATACAGTTTTCACACTGCTGGATTAATTTCAATGTCTTTTCTCATGCAGGTAAAACAAAGACTACTCGTTCTTTCCCTACAAAAAATGCCTATTCTCATGAAAGACTTCCTTCCAAGAATGTGTGACATAAAGAGCACTTCTCAGCCTAATTTACACAAATACACAGATATTTCTTTAGCTGTCTGACAGGCACTAGAACTTTCTAAGCCAGAGTGATACATTCCAAGGAAAATTCCTCAAGTCAGTGATCTGTTTAAGAAACACCCCCCACCCAAAATACTGGAAGGGTTCTCTGCTACAATCTACAGTACATGCGAGATGTGAGTTACACAGTAAACATACAAGGGTTCAGTTAATATTCATCAAAGACTTGTAACACCCCCAGCTGGGTCTCACGGCATTCTACAAAATGTTACCAAAGCTTGAGTTTAATTGAAAAGCCTTACTGTTTAAAGTGTGTAACCCAGCAGCATATGGCCAAATTAATTGATCAGGGATCTGCTGCACATGTGAACTATTTTTTCCCACCAAATTAATATGGATGGATTGATATCAAAATAGCTCTCTGTCAAAAGCTTAAGTTTTACTACAAAGCAAACTTTTTACATTAGTAATTCAAATTAAAACAATTGCCAAAATGATCCATTACAGAAAATTTAAAAATTTAAAATCAAAATTTTCAGCTTACATGAGAAGCAGGTCCAGATTAAAGCCTTCTTCCACATAATCAATCACTGATTAACTTGCTTATAAATGCTCATAGAGTTGCAAATAGCATGCCATGACCACAGTCACTAACCCTATAAAAAGTCAATCACAAATGCCAAGAGCAGAGCAGCACCCCTGTGTGTTAAAATCGGGTAAATGCATGGGAAATTCTACCATAGAGCTTGTTCTCAATCCACGTGGAGGGGAGTGTGCGGGGTAGTGGGGAGTTATTACAGTCCACCAAAGGAGTGTCCTCTTCAGAGAGTGCATCGTCGTACAGCAATGCGTCAGCAGGCGTCGAGGCTGCCAGGTCCAAGTAATCCTGCCAGATCGAAAGGGAGACAGGTCATGCAGTGCACTGTAGAAGGAGACTGAGTAGAGTTGTATATATGTCTGTCCATTTTTATAGGAAACCAGTGTACTTTACTGCCCCCACTGGCAGTGCCAGGTTCTGCAATCTGTACCATATGTTAGTGCTTTGGCGCTCCCATGTCTGCAAACATAGGCTCTGCTCTTACTCTGCTTTTCACCATCATCTTTTCCAGTTCCTTGCTGATTTCTGAGAAAGTTGGCCGTTTGTCTGGCTCCTGCTTCCAGCACCGAAGCATCAGGCTGTACCTGCAGGTACACAAGTGTGTGAGGGGAAGACTGAATGCTACAGCAAGATCATGGCAAGGTGTGAGTGTATAGGGGCTGTGTGAGGTGTGTGAGGGGCCTGCTTCTCATGTACGCTGTCTCAGGTCTCATCCTGTAGGACTGTTTAAGGGCTGTGTTAGGACTGTGTAAGCACTTAGTGCATGAGGGCTGTGTCAGCATCGGTGCATAATGGCCGTGTCAGCACTCAGTGTGGGAGGACTGTGTGAGGGTTGTGTAAGCAGTGCATGAGGACTGTCAAAAAGCTGTGGCAGCGATGCGTGAGGACTCAGTGAGGGCTGTGTCAGCGGTGTGTGAGAACTGTGTGAGGCTGTGTCAGCACTCGGTGCACGAGGGCTGTGTGAGTGGTGCGTAACGGCAGTGCCAGTGCTGCGTGAGGACTGTGTTAGTGCAATGTGAAAGCTGTGTCAGCATGTCGTTGTGTAACTTACATCTCCTCTGTGCAATTCTCAGGTCTCTCCATCCTGTAGCCCATCTTGAGGAGGTTGAAGAGCCGTTCAGGGGCGATGCCAGGGTATGGGTTACCCCCTAGGGTCACAATCTCCCACAGCAACACCCCAAAGGACCAGCTGAGAGGAGAATGAGAAACAAGAACATACTGGGACACATGGGAATACTAAGGGATATGCAGTGACACACAGGGAGATGCGGAGATACTGAGGAACACGCACTATATTTATCAGTATAGTCTCGTTCAGGTATATACACTCACCTAAAGGATTATTATGAACACCATACTAATACGGTGTTTGACCCCCTTTCGCCTTCAGAACTGCCTTAATTCTACGTGGCATTGATTCAACAAGGTGCTGAAAGC